TAGCATATAAAGACAATGTCACAGTCACTTTTGCAACATGGAAGAAAGAAGAGGAATGGAAATGGCAATAGAGAAATCTTTGTCAGAAGCCAACGCTAGTTCCACCTAACTTCTGCTGTTAACTGAGCACCAGCAATATACTGCAGCACAGAAACATCTGCTTTGTTCCTCAACTGTTTTTGAACAAAATAAACTGACAAGCGTGTAAAACATCAAACAGATGCATCTAAATTGCTATTCTTAGACAGGGTATCTCTTTTTGTGTGAAACATTTTGAGTGGGGTTTACATACATATTCTTATGGTGAAATATCTGCGACCAAATCAATTTCACTGATTAAGCAGGAAATCATCTTAAGAAGGCACTTTTTAAGCAGAACCACTGCACTGCATATTCTTAGAACACGCACAATAGATCACTGTGGTCATGGTGCAAGGGCCAAGAAGGCCCATCCCTTATACATTCATATACTTAGAATCACATTATACTGGAACTGTTCCACAACAAAGCTAACAGAAATATCAATCAATAAACAATTTTGAAATTCAGAACAAACTGGATGCCAATGTTAAGTTTCATGTCCCTGCTCTCTGGACTAAGTTATAGGCATGTGTGAAGACAAAAAATAAATAGGGCTATTTAGAAAAATAGACTAACAATTATTATTGAGACATCATTTGGATTACCTTGNTAGGGGATGTTATCGTTGTTTTATATTATAAAAGTTGCTCAAAATGGCGGCTGCCAACTTCATTGCATATTCTGCACCACCTGGCCATGTTATGCTGAACTCTTTGAAACAGGAACAGGTTACAGTTATGAAAGTACCAGTCTCCACGTTATACCTCTCTGAACCGCTTGTAGTCCAGGAGTCTGGAATATGCTGACGTCCCAGCAATTATCAGCTGTGGGCGGAACAGTACCGCAGTCTTTTGAAGTGCGTCATAGTCAATGAGTCCAGTGTTGACATCAAGGCGATATGGCATTGACTCAAAGAATAATGATGTCGCAGAGACTCGCTTTGTGTCAGTCATGAAGCCATGGGTGAGGCTATTAACCAACAATACAGCACATATGAGATTTGAGGTTCTCATGAAAGTGACTATGAAGATCACTGTCTTGTAGAATGCGCCACAGTAGATAATGTCACATATTAGTGACTAGACACGGGGTCTGGACTGATAATTCAATTTACTGGATGCTTATAACTCATAACTACAAATTCTTATAACAGACTCACTGATTTACACACTCTATAGATCACTACAACTATGGTGCACATGAAGTCTTCTGTTTCTTCACTAATCACTGCTAGGTAGCACTTACTAACACTGTAACTCAAGACTGACTCAAGTCAGTCAAAGAAACTCTATAAACAGCAGTTTACTACCAATCAGTTCATCTTGGCAGTAAGCACCTTGTGCTCACAGCCAGAGATTTTTTTTTCAAATGAACCCTTCTTACGTAGCTTTGGAGCAGACCGCATAGGAAAAAAAACTGCATCATCTATTGCTTTGTGATTGTTGCTGGAAAATGTGTTTACCGTGACATTACTTGGAAATGGCCATCCCTTCATTTCCATTATTCTGGCTTTCAGCTGTCACGTCACATCAAAAACCAATGCTTCAGAGAAATCTCCTTCATTCACCTTCAGGGTAAGCATCTGCCTTGAAGATGGAGGTTGCAAGTTCCTCTGAAACGTTGGCAGCTATCCACCAAACTATATGGTGTCACAATCCAAAAGACAGTACTCTTCAATATGTCACATTTACTTAGTATCATTACTGAAGTAGAAAATTAAAAAAAAAATGAAACTCTTTCCTACATGTGGAGAGTGAAAATAAATTTGTAACCTGTAACTGAAAATGTTCTTTGGTCAACAATGAACATGCCTTAACCCTAAATAGATGAAACTCGATTCATTAATGTAAATAACAGCTTTAATTGTGGTCTTAGTCTGTTGCTTCTTATTCACTTTTACCCAAGAATTCTTCCACCATTTCCCATCAACTGCAAGATTCAGAAAGGGCGAACGTGTGGGGTGTGACATGGAGTGAAAAGTTTGGAGTACCAAGGAACAACAAATTCCAGAGCTCTTTCACTACATATCCTGCACAGAGAGCAAAAATCTAAAACTATGTCATCAAAATTTGGATCTAAAGTGGTTTAAGGAATATATATCATACACAGAGTAGGATGGCACAACGGGAAGTAGGGGTCACATGAACTCTGCAGTCTTGCGAGTGATGACATATACCCCCACCCCTTCCAGTATTACGCAACACTTGGTAAACACTCCGTCACCTCCTGCAGTGACGTAACAGCACTTCTTACGGTGACGTAACAGGGGACACCATGGTTACTATGCAGCAATAAACAACTAGTGGCAGCGTTCCCCAGCAATGCCTATAAACACAACGTTACGCAACAGTGGTAGCTATCATGTAACTGTTTTCTGTGTTGTCAATGAGGAAGTTACTAGAGAGAGAGTAACCAGTTAGTTGCAGTCTAGCATTCGCCAGAGTGAATGGAAGCAGAAGAAGTAATTGTGATACTGCTGATGGCAGTAGTGGTGTAAATTGTATAAGTGTAAGAGTGAATGTGCAATAAATTCGCTATAAACAATATGGTGTGAAGTTGTTTGTCACGTGACCTACCCAACACGTGGCAATTTGGTGTCAGAATTGGTTATGAACTTACATATGTGAAAAAGACATGGAGTCACAGCAGATGTTGGAACTTCTGCTGAAGGAAATCAGAGCTGGCCAAGAAGAAATAAGAATGAACTGAGCTAAAATGGACGCCACGAGGAAGACAGACAAAGAAGATTTCATGGCAAAATTAGACACCAACCGAGAAAAGCCTGGTGAGAAAAGATTGATGCGGAAACAGATGCAATCAAACAAGGACAAAAACCATGCATGAAAATATGGGCACCAGCCACATGGAGATAGTGGCCGAAAGCAAACCTGAAATGGATGTAAAGATAATGGCCTGCCAAGAGATGGAGGAATGTCTAGAACAAGAAGAGCCGACCTCAGTGGACAGGAAACCTGAGGTGCCACAACAACGAGAAGTCCCTGCAGAAGACGCCAAAGTAATGCTGGTCGGAAAACCAAAGAAGAAAAGGCATAGGGACTGACACTAGCGAAAAATAAATGAACAGATCCAGTGTCAGGATGGGTGCCGAGGAAGACTGCTTGTCACCTGCAGAGGGACGAGCCACCATGCAAAAGTGGCACAGAAAACACAAACCGACCAGAAGGTGTCCTGCCGTGCAGCAGTGGCACAACGCAGGAGAGATGCCTTCAAGAAGGAAACTGCCCAGGGAACCTTCGGATCCCAGAGAAAGGAATTGGCCGTTGACAACTGTCTACACCGTCTCTGCAAGCAGCCTTATGACGAATCTCAACCATTGTGGGATGACTGTAGCAATGAAAAGAAACCAGCAGTGGGCCTTGCTGTGCCACAGTCTTGCACCAGCAACTGGTGGGAAGACCAGGAGGAACGATGACGTCAGCAAGTTCAGGCCACACTGTTATGTTGACAAAGGGAACTTCTCAAGAAAGACATGATTAAGGACTGGACACCGTGGAGGGGTCGACCCCCTCTGAAACAGAAAAGAAAACAATGGATAGAGGAGGAGCCGGTAACATAGAAGTACCAGCCTCCCCATTGAGAGTGAATGTGCGATGGATGAAAGTGAGGGGTGAATGTGATACAATGGATCGATGAATGCTGGAATATGGAATTGTTCGGGACGAACAATCTTAAGAAGGGAGCGGATGTAACAGCCGGAGAATAGTCGCTGCAAGAGGAGTAGCCGAAACAACAGGAGATGCAGCAAGCATAGCCTTGGAAGAAAAGGAATGGGGATGTATCATTAGGCTGTTCGGGACGAACAACCTTAAGGAGGGAGCAGTACAACGTGGATGGTGCAACAGGAAGTAGGGGTCACGTGAACTCCGCGTTCTCGCGAGTGACATCACATACCCCCACCCCTTCCAGTATTATGCAACACTCAGTAAACACTCCGTCGCCTCCCGCAGTGATGTAACAGCACTTCCCACAGTGACATAACAGGGGAAAAAGCAGTTACTACGCAGCAATAAACAACTCGCGGCAGCATTCCCCAGCAATGCCTGTAAACACGATGTTATGCAACAGTGGTAGCTATCATGTAACTGTTTTCTGTGTTGTCAGTGCAGAAGTTACTAGAGAGAGAGTAACCAGTTAGTTGCAGTCTAGCATTTGCCGGAGTGAATGGAAGCAGAAGAAGTAATTGTGATTCTGCTGATGGCAGTAGTTGTGGAACTGTAAATTGTGTAAGTGTAAGAACGAATGTGCAATAAATTTGCTATATCCAATACAGTGTGGCAATATCATACAGGCATTCTGCGATCCTGGAGTAGCCCTTCAAAGAATACCCATTTATGAAGACTAATATTCATCATCATCATCATCATCACCACAGACACTCACCATCTCAACCCTTTCCTGAGAGGGCTCAGTAAATGTCATGTCCTTACAAACTATATATTTCCTTCTCATATTCAGCTCAGGAACCGGGGTAGTGTAGTTGGTATAGTGACTGGCTATGGGCTGGACAACTGAGGGGTTGAAGTTCAAGTCCTGGTAGGGTCAAGAATTCTCTCTTCTCCAAATCATCCAGACCACCTCTTGGGTCCACCCAACCTCCTATCCAGTGGGTACTAGGGGCTCTTTCCCCAGAGGTAAAGCGGCCGGGGCGTGAAGGTGACCACTCACCTCTAATTAGTGCCAAGGTCAAGAAAATGTGGATCGATGGCATAGTGCTTAAATTTGTTGAGAATAGGGATAACTTTACCTTACCATATTCACTTCAATTTCCAGAGTAATTTCTTATTAAAAGAAATTGTATAGAATTCTTGTTTTTCAGTGGTATCAATGTATAATTCAGGGCTTGGACTTTACAACCAAGTAATTAAATTACCAACCTACTGTGTACCATGACAGTTGCTGGGTCAGAGATAAAGGTCAAGCATGTGGGCCTGGTCAGGGCTATCACACACCTCAGAGGGTTATGATGAATAACTATGGAGCAATAGTGCAATGATAATTAGCATGAGAAAATTTAAGGAACTCAGAAGAGAGAAACCTGCACCAATGTCACTTCATCTACCAAAAATCCCATATAAAATCACCCTGAATGGAACCTGAGGCTTTGCAAAGTGAAGCCACTGCCACCGCCCAGCAGGCCCAGCTGACTTGCTACATGTTACAAAACACACTCACTGTCCTCCATGTGGCAAGTCCAGCCCCATAATGCGATCATGTGGTTTCAGAAGCGCAGAATATGCTGCAAAGTTGGCTGGGGAACCTGAGTATGGCTGAACATTCACACCCCATTCAGAAGAGCTGAGCTTGAATGCTTCAAGAGCCCGCTTCTGGCATAGCAACTCAATCTTGTCAATTACCTCTGTACCACCATAGTACCTGGGGAAAACAGGAACAGCATCATATAAACTTCAGTGACCACCACAGTACCTGCAGTCAGCAGGAATACTGTCTAGTGTTCAGTGTCTGGATAATGTCTGTCACAATAGTACCTGGGGTCGGCAGGAACATTATCTAGTGGTCAATGGCTGGACACAGCCTGTGACACCACCATGCCCGCAGTAAGCAGGAATAACATCATACAGTTCTTGTGCAAACTGAGCTTCTATTTAGTTACTTATAGTCTAATTAAGGATGCTGTCAGTAACTCACTATACAGTATTCAACAACTGGATCATCTCTGTGTGACCACAGTTCCTGGGGGCAGCAGAAACAGAACTGTAAGTTCTTGTGGGGAACACTGTTTCTATCTAGTTATCCCTATTTTATTTCAGTGGCACTGCTAGTAACTCAGACTAAATAATGTTCAGTGACTGGATTATAGTGAATAATGAACTGTAAATGATGTGGAAGCTTGCACTCATGGCATAATTTAAGACACTATCTCAGAATCTGCCTGACAGGACTGAGGAAGACCACAAAAACTTGAGCCAGGATATTCGGTGTTCTGGTCAAGGTTCAAAATACAAGTAACAAGCATTTCCACTTAAAAGAACTTGACTATTAGCGGTATTTTTATCTAATGTACATTGAGTGGCATATTTTTAAAAATCTGCAGGAATAAAGGCAACCCTAACAGACCAAATGCAATTTAGTATGATATCTCAGCCTTCATAAAAAAATTAAGTTTAGTATAGTAGAAAAACTACTGATATTAATGCAGGGATACCTGAGTGGATTCCTGGTCAGGCTTACATACATATGTTAGAGCTAATTAACAAATGTCTCTGATGTTCTGTCTTACATGCAAAACTTTTTAAAAATATTTGTTTAAAAATTACTCCATATACACAATGCATCTTATAAACTTATTTTAAAAACCACATTGTCCACTACATGTTTCGGCCATCATTGGTCATCATCAGGAGTTTTAAAACTGTTCTGTGGAGACTGCTGTGTTTGCATTTTTTCATTCTAATGCGGGATGCGTAGCCCCATCACACATTCATGTTTTTTGTGGTGCTGTATGTCTTCTCCTATTGCATTGTGTGTTTAGACCACATTCATGGTCTAAACATGAATGTGTGATGGGGATACTCAGCCTACATCAGAAGGAAAAAACAGAAGCACAGCAGTCTTCATAGAACGGTTTTTAAAACACCTGACGATGACCAATGATGGTTGAAACATGCAGCGGACAATGTGGTTTTTAAAATAAGTTTATAAGATGCATTGTGTATATGGAGTAACTTTTAAACAAATATTTTTAAAAAAATTTGCAAGTAAGACAGAACATCAGAGACATTTCTTAATTAATTAATAACATGCAACATGATGCTACAGTGTAATAGTATGTTTGAGCTATTTACGACTATTTTTACTGACTGCCTTCCAGTATTCAGGATTCAAGAACAATTCTTCTTTTAGAAGTACTTTTAATTCTTTGTATTAATATCTCATACATTTACTTTCTGTTCTCATTTTAGATTTTTTTAATCCAGGAATGGCAGCAGGTACCTGGCTTGTCTGTGCCCCCCCACCCCAGCATGCAATGTCTATGATACCTGGGGGTTTATATATTAATATATCAAAGCAAACATTCATAGAACACTAACACCAGATCAATAACATGGATTTATTCACTGAGAAGATGCTAGAAAATAACTGAAAATTTGCAGTGGGAGCAATGGTTACTGTCAATATGTGACAAATGGTACTGATGATTAATGCCTGCATGAATTGTACCAAAGAACAGAATATGAAATTAGCTTACTGTTTTCTTCTACAGCAATTGAAGAAATGGTCATGCAAAGTTTTTCAATTTATGAATGCCTAAATATGACCATGCAAGGTGTTTTACCACGTCCCTTGTTACATTCCAAGTACTGAATAGGCAACATGTGGGAGTGGGGCATACCTCTGTCCAGGGTACCCTTCAGAATATTTGTTGTTGAGACAGGAACCAAGAGCATCCAGCACTGCTCGGCTGGCGAAATTCTGGAACAATAAACATTGTTAAGCAGCATGTAAGCAATGCCACAGTGATACCAACCTCTGGGTATTTCTCAGCCCCAATGGTCACTGGTGTTCCCACTCTGAACTTAAAGGAAACATTCTTTATAAGAAGCTATTGGACTGGCATACAGATTATCTACTCTTCCAAAGATGTGACTGCCTCTCAATGTCTGCGGCATACTGCTGCCATGGCAGTCCAACTTCTGGCTAGATGAATGACTCAGTAATCAAAACATTGTTTATGCCAGTTTCTACTCTTATACGGCATTCTTATCAAACATCTGCTGTGAACAAAATGTCACTGAAAATGTCACCAAAAATATTCTAGTTTTACAGTGGCAATGTGAAAGAGCCACACATAAAACAATGACAGTTTGGCATAATAAGATGTTCCATTTTATGTGATCCTGGGAATGCAGAAAATCATGACATAGCTCATGAAGTAAAAACAGCATCTATGTCATGTGTCAAAACGGAAGCTGTCTCAGAATGCCTTCCTGTAGAGAAACAAGTTTGTTGAGGCTCTTCTCAAAACAAGATAAAATTGAACTCTAGAAACAATTTTACATCACTCTGTTATGACAATGTGATTTTAGTGACATACTGGTGAGCAGTAGTGTAAACTGGTTGATATAACACCTGTGTCATTACTATTCAAGCAAACTGCAAATTTAGCCATATTCTTATAATATATTGAAAATACATTAGAAATCTTGTATAACCCAATTTCAGATATGGTACAGAAGTAAACAAATGCAACAAAGAGTCCTAAAATGGCTCCCTCATGTTGCTGCAACCTACTCCTTATCACCTAACAAGGACCATAATGAAACTTGACAAAACAAAAACTTCTAGTTTTTAAGCTAATTTAAAATAAATTCTTAAAATCAAAGTACAATTCAGGTAATTAGTTTTAAGATTCAAGTTATATTAATGTTGTAATAATATGGATCCATATTAATAACACAATTCAATGCCTGTGATCACACACTTCTGTAGATTCACCTGATGATGAACTTGTCTGGGTCAAAACATGTGGTGAATCCTTTGCCAAATAAATGAATGCTGGTATGTTAGTACTGATCTGTTTGTTGATATAACTGTTGTGTAGATGGTCCCATAAAATGCCATTATATGATAAACAACAGGATGCATCCCATGAAGATTCATATAATTCTGTGCATGTGCAGCAGTGTTGCCTTTATTTCCTTTTTCCAACTGTTTTATAACTATCAATGATAGCAAAATCAGAGACATGTCAAAACACTGTGTAAGCAGAATAATCGTTATACTGCACAGTCAAATAGTCAAAAATGAAAATAAAAACAAATCCACCTGGATAACAATTGGAATAAAAACTTCATGTAAACACAAAAGACAACTATATTTGGCCAGTAGGGACAGTAATGATCCAAGACTAAAAAGTCACTACAAAATGTACTGTAAAATTTTGTCAGAAGTCATTAAAGAAGCCAAACAGAATAACTATAACAGCCAAATTCTAAAATCAAACAATAAAATTAAAACCACCTGGGATATTGTGAAAGTTGAATCAGGAAAGAAATCTGTTAATGAAGACGTACAAAGTTTGAATATTGAAGGGAAGTCCACTAACAATCCACAAGCTATCGCAAGTGCATTTAATGAATATTTCCTTTCATTAGCTGAGAAAACATATTCCAATAATAATAATAATAATAATAATAATAATAATAATAATAATCCAATATACTATCTGTCTCGTGCCTTTAACAATTCATTTCCAAATATCAATCTCAAATTCTCAACAAGGAAGGAAATTGAAAACATTATTAAATCCCTTAAGCCCAAAAATTCACATGGATATGATGAAATCTCTACCAAATTACTTAAAGCAAGCTCTGTTTACATCAGTTCACCCTTGAATCATCTATGTAATAAATCTTTATCATCAGGTACTTTTCCTCAACGCTTAAAATACGCTATAATGAAACCACTTTTTAAAAAAGGAGAGAGAAAATGCATCTCTAATTACAGACCAATATCCATATTGACTTCATTCTCAAAAGTCTTTGAAAAAGTTATGTATAATAGACTACTTGAACACTTAAATTCTAACAACATATTAGTCAAAGAGCAATTTGGATTTAGGAAAGACCTAACAACAGAAAAAGCAACCTATGAACTAACTAACGATATTTTAAGTGCTCTCAATGACAGATTAATTGTGGGAGGGATTTTCTGTGATCTAGCAAAAGCTTTCGATTGTGTTAATCATGATATCTTACTATCGAAATTAAATTTCTATGGAATAACTGGCAAAGCTAATGAATGGATCAAATCATACCTCAAAAACAGGTATCAAAGAGTTGAAATAAATAATAAAAACTCCAGTCATAATGCATTTTCAAACTGGGGAATTATAAAGCACGGTGTTCCACAAGGATCAATTTTAGGTCCCTTACTTTTTCTTCTCTACATAAATGATCTATCTAAAACCATCAACAATAAATCTAAACCAATTCTATATGCAGATGACACTAGTATAATATTTAAGAACTCTAAATTTGAAAACTTTAAAAATGACATAAATATTGTATTTGAAGCCTTAAACAGATGGTTCGAAGCCAATTTACTCTCATTAAATTTTGATAAAACCCATTACATATCATTCACAACTAAAAACAACCACCAAATTGATCTGGACATCAGTTATGCCAACAAATTAATCTGTAAAGTACTTGATACAAAATTCCTTGGAATACATGTAGACAGTACACTGTCTTGGAAAATACATATTGAACAAATTATACCTAAATTAAATGCAGCTTGCTATGCGATGAGATCAATTAAGCCTTTTATGTCACAGGAAACATTGAAGATGGTTTACCATGCCTACTTTCATTCTATTATGAACTATGGATTAATATTTTGGGGGAACTCTTCACATAGTGTAATAATTTTTAAAATACAAAAGAATATAATTAGAATCATTACAGGATGTAGAAGTAGAGATTCATGTAGAGAATTATTTAAGAAATTAAAAATTCTACCTCTTCAATCGCAATACATATTATCGCTTCTCTTATTTGTTGTTTACAACAAAGATAAATTCAAATTAAATTCTGATGTCTATAACATGAATACTAGACAAAAATACAACTCCCACCTACCCTCATCAACTTTATCAGTATATCAAAAAGGAGTCTACTTTACTGGCATAAAAGTGTTCAACAATCTGCCACAAAGTATTAAAAACTTGGACAATGATACTAAAAATTTAAATCAGAGTTAAAGAATTATCTACATGCTCATTCCTTCTACTCTTTAGATGAATACTTCAATGTAAATAGAGAATGATGTAAAATTAAGTTATATTAATTTTTAAGCTGAAATTGCCTGTACTTATGTATGTAACCTTTTGACTTGTTCTGTATCCAAAGGTACTAACCTGCTTAGGATTTATAGAATGTAAATAAATTCAATTCAATTCAAGATATACTTGAGTAAAGACCGCCCAGTACCACACACATTCCACAATCAGATGATACAGGTTTACTTGCCTCAGATGCAATAAGCTCCAGTCCTGACTTCTGTCTTACTTTCTCCTCACAAATCAAATCCCACATTTCTGGATCATCTTGCTTGAGGGTCTCCTGTCCAGTCCACCTGGACATCAGGCACTGTAACAGGACGACCCTCCTGCCTCCCTATGGATCAGATAAAGTAATTTTCATATATTCTGAGACCTTCCACAGACATAACAGAAGTAATACTTAAATGAAAACATAAATACATAAAAGGAGGGGAAAATATGTATACCAGTGTTTATTATACATAAATAGAATAAGAAAATTATATTCATAAGTCACATAGCTATTAGAGGACTTCAGATAGTAACATTACCATCTTCTCTCACCTCATACAGATTTTTATCAGAATGTTAATTTTTTCCTTGTATTCTGGCCACTTTAAAATTTAAGAGATAAACTGAAATTCTTCATAGTATTGTTCTTATGTGCCTGTAATCATATTATTTTTCTCATACTTTCTTGGACCAAACATCAAAATACAATACTAAGGAATTTCTCACTCAAGATTACCATTTTTTATTTTGTATTATATATCAAACACATTCCTGTTCCCTCTTCCCCTCTACTTCTACATGCCTTGTTTACAGTAAAGTAGAATGCTTTCTTTCTCTGTGACTTCTTATTTTATAATACTATGAACATCTTTACTTTTATGTACCTTTGCACCTTATATTAATAGAGAAGAATCAGGACAGCCCAGTCAGTAAAGTGACTGCTTACAGGCTGGGTGATCAAGGTTTGGTTCCTAGCAGAGGAAGGATTTTTCTTTTTGCCTTCACATCCAGACTGACTTTGGGGCTTAACCAGCATCCTGTCCAATAGGTATTATGGCATTTGTCTACAGCAAATGTAACCAAACTATGAAGAGGACCACTCTACCCTATGTAATACTGATATTCAGAATGCAGAGAGCTCCCCCGGTAAATAGTGGGTATCATTGAATAAACCCAGCTATGATTGCAAATACTGCTCCTATTGATAAAACCTCCATAGCGTGGAATGGGAGCATTTTTTACTTTTATTTTACATTCCTTTGGTTGTCTTTCCCTTCCACTTATGACCATCTTTTATAATCCTGTTTTTATTTCATCAGCCCATCAGTTATTTATCTCTTCATTTTAATTAGAAATCAAAGAATTTTGTGTGACTCTTACATTCTACTTCTACTCTGTTGATGAATTTATGCTACTGAGAAATAATTAACAGACTGTAATCATGTAACTGCATGTGTATTTCATATAGAGTTGTGTATCATATACACATACATTACAGGTAGAGCTATCACAGTTCTTTCTGAAACATTCCTGACTCTGCCACAAAAGCTTACTGAAGCACGTCTCCTCTTAAAGCAGACCACGTGTTTAAACATGCCAATTATGCATATGTTCTTATACAGGGAATACACCAGCCAGCTAGGAATTTGTTTGCCCTTATCTGTCTACTGATGGCCACTGAACTGTCACTTAGACAGCCAGTACTTGCTGGTTTATCTCTACACCACTGCCTGTTTAGCATTCAGCTGTCCTTGACATACATGCAAATGTAATGTAGTTAGTTAGTCATTTAGAGAGGGTGGGTTTCCCCATGCACCACGACCAGTTTGATCTATTGTGCTTCCCTCTATGATATTCTACCAGTCTCTACACCCTACCGATACTGGTGCTTACCATCAGTCCTGACCAAGTCAGCGAGTTCAGCCTCTACTGGCTTGGCGGTATCTATAATGCTTCCCCCATCTATCAGAGGCGTTAGAGACTACTGTTGGCTGGGAAATGTCCTTGAATTTGGCTCAGTGACCTCCTTAGGAGATATGAGGTTCTTTTACATGCCGTAAAGCTACGACACGGGACCCACGGCATAAAGTCCCTCCCGGAGGACTTGTTCCCTGAATTTTTCCGCCCTTAAAAATTCCACGACCTCCGCCGGGTTTGAACCCGCGTACTACGAGTCATGAGGTGGGAACGTTACCTCTAGACTACGGAGGCCGCAAATTTCAGGGTTACTCACCCTATGTCTATAGTGCTGCA